AGCCGATGGATTTGCGGGAGGTGGGCCTACCATCCGGGGCACAAAGGATAATATTAGGAAACTGGTCAACTTAGTGGATGAGGGCCAGTCGTCTAAATATTCATTTCCGGAAGTTAACATCTCCGAGAAAGATAGAGGAGAGGTCAGGCGGCCTCATGATGACCCCATAGTCATCGAGTGCAAAATCGCCAATCAACGAGTTGGCCGGATCTTGATTGATACTGGGAGCTCATCTGACCTCATAAGCTACCGGTGCTTGGAAAAACTTAAGTACAAGCCCAGTAGCATGCATCCGGCCTCATATCCTCTTGTTGGTTTTGGGGGAGGAGTAGTACATCCGGTGGTAGGAAAGTTGACTGCCTACAACTTAATTATTGGCCGGCACATGGTTGTCAACTTAATTATCTACCCATCCGGTTCGGAGAAAAGGGAAAGGGCCGACACATGGTTGTCAAGTTTCTTGTTGTAGGAGAGCTGACTGCCTACAACTTAATTATTGGCCGCCCAACCCTTAACATCTCAAAGGAAGTCATCATCCCATCTCTAATGTTGATTAAGTTTGAAAGGGATGATGGCACAGTCGGTTCCCTGAGTGGGGACCAAAAGATGGCGAGAGAGTGTTACCTCTCGGACATCAAACCAACGCTTGACACAGACGGTCAAGAGGAAGAAATAGTTGAACATGACGACTGTGATCAAAAGCTCACCGGCTATAAAACCAGCCTGTAAAAAGAGAAAGGCGGACCAGATGGCGCCTGTAAAGGAGAAACAATAGCAATCACTGTCAGGGGAGGGGCCAGACGGCCTTCGCCCCCAGCCGGCTGGAGAAATAATTGACATTGTCCTTGAAGACAGCCGGCCAGACATAACCGTCAAAATTAGGACAATTGCTTTTGAAAACTTGGGACCTGACTTGCTCCTTTTGCTGAAGGAGTTCAAAGAAGTGTTTTCCTTTGAAGTAGAAGAGATGCCGGGTGTAAGTCCAGATCTTGCTATTCATAAACTCGCTGTGGATCCTAAGAAGAAGCCGGTCAGGCAAAAGAAAAGGAACCATGGCGAGGAAAGGTCACAGGCGGCAGCAACTGAGGTCAAGAAACTCTTAGTTGCTGGTTTCATCCGGCAATGCTACTACCCGGATTGGGTAGCCAATGTTGTCCTTGTGAAAAAGTCGAATGGAACCTGGCGGATGTGCGTAGATTACACGGACTTAAACAGAGCTTGTCCAAAAGATAGCTACCCGCTTCCAAAGATAGATCATTTGGTAGACTCTATAGCCGGCCATGCCCTGATGAGTTTTATGGATGCCTACTCCGGCTTCCATCAGATACCCTTGTGGAAGAAAGATCAAGAAAAGATGGCTTTCGTCACAGATCAAGGGTTATACTGCTACACGGTGATGCCGTTTGGGTTGAAGAATGCGCCTGCCACTTTCCAAAGAATGATGAACTCGGTCTTTTATGATCAGATTGGAAGAAATATGGAGGCGTACATCGATGACATGATAGTCAAGTCAAAACTACAGGCGGATCATCTAGCTGACCTCCGAGAATCCTTCACCACCCTCAGGCGGCATAAAGTCATGTTAAACCCGAAAAAATGGGTCTTTGGAGTTGAGTCTGGGAAGTTTCTTGGATTTTTGATTGATCAGAGAAGCATAGAGGCTAATCTGGACAAAGTACAGGCGGTGATTGACATGCAGTCGCCTCGTACCGTCAGAGAGGCTCAAAAGCTCACCGGTTGTCTCGCGGCATTGGGAAGATTCCTCAGCCGGTCAGGTGACAAGTGCTTGTATTTCTTTCAAGCAATAAAAAAGAGGTCAAGGTTTGAATGGGGAGAAGAGGCTGAGGCGGCATTTCAGAGGCTGAGGCGGCATTTCAGAGGCAGAAGCAACATTTGCATTCTTTTCCAAGATTAGTGAGTCCCCTACCCCAGGAGGCTCTCTTCATGTATTTAGCCGTCTCAGATCATTCCCTAAGTGCCGTTCTCTTTGCTGAGAGAGACGACAACCAGCTCCCGGTCTACTTCATCAGCCATGTCCTTTGGAACGCCGAACTCCGCTATCCCATGATCGAGAAATTCGGTCTGGCTTTGTTCAAAGCAGTCAAACGGTTGAAACCTTATTTCCTGGCTCATCCGGTTACCGTCTATTCTGACCAACCGCTCAAAAGGCCTATGACCACTTTAGAGTCATCTGGAAGAATGATTAAATGGGCTGTGGAAATTCAAAGTCTAGAAATCACTTTCGAACCTAGGCGTGCAGTGAAGGGTCAGGCGTTTGCCGACTTCATTGTTGAAATGACAAGGCCGATACAGCCGGATAATATTGATCATGTTTGGAAAGTATATGTAGACGGGAGCTCTACTGTGAATGGTTGTGGGGCAGGCGTGATTTGTCATTCCCCAGAGGGGGACAAATACGAATATGCTGTACGATTCAAATTTCAAGCTTCAAATAAGGAAGCTGAATACGAGGCCCTGCTAGCCGGTATCCGCATGTGTAAGGCAGCCGGGGCAAGAAAAGTTGACGCCTGTTCTGATTCTCAACTCATCGTTAGCCAGTACAACGGTGATTACGAGGCCACCCATCCAGTGATGATTAAGTATCTCCAGGCGGTCAAGGAGGAGGCTGGGGCATTTGATGAATTCAGTCTAAGTCAAGTACCCAGGTCCGAGAATAATCAGGCGGATGCACTATTAAAATTGGCATCATCCGCCACATGTGATTTGCCTAGGTAAGTCTTCTAGGAAGTCATGGAAAAGAAAAGCATTGACATGATCCCATTGGAGTTCTAGATCGAAGCTCCACTTGGATGGACCCCATCCGGGATTACTTGGTAGACAGCACACTACCGGGTGTTTCATCAGAAGCGGCTGCTCTTAAAAGACGAGCATTAAGCTTCGTAATGCACAAAGGTGAACTCTTCCGGAAGGGTTACCTGCAACCGCTATTCAAATGTGTTACCCCTGAAAGGGGAAAGGAAATATTGGAAGATCTGCATGCCGGCTTCTGTGGATCACACATTAACGGGAAGACTCTTGCCAAAAGAGCCAGGCGGCAGGGATACTTTTGGCCCACTCTCGAGGCAAACGCATTAGATCTGGTAAAAAGATGTGACAAGTGCCAGAAGTTTGGCTGGCTGATCCAACAGCCGACCACTGATTTAACGACTATTCACAGCCCTATTCCCTTTGCCAAATGGGGCATGGACATTTTGGGGCCATACACTCCTGCCCCAAGCGGCAAAAGATACATTTTAGTGGATGTTGATTACTTCACTAAGTAGGTTGAGGCCGAGGCGGTAAAGGGCATCAAAACTAAGGATGTCATCTCCTTCATCTAGAGAAATGTCATCACCCGGTTCGGTGTACCTATGTCAATGGTCTTTGACAATGGCCCCCAGTTCGAAACGCCTGTCCTAAAGACTTGGTTGCAAGATCAAGGCATTTCCCATTACTTTGCATCCGTTGGCCGTCCTCAAGCAAACTTTCAGGTTGAAGCTTTTAACAAGCTCATCTCAGGGGGCATAAAAAAGAAAATTGAAAAAGCAGGCGGTCTTTGGGCAGAGGAACTGACTCATGTTCTTTGGTCTATTAGAACTACTGAGAAGGGATCAATTGGAGAAACTCCATTTCTTATGGCATATGGCATAAAGGCGGTGCTTCCCATTGAATTATATGAGCCTACACTTCGAATCATGTTATATGATGAAGAGGCAAATTGGGAAGCCATGCGCCTGGCTTTGGATACTCTTCCTGAAAGAAGGGGCAATGCTGCCTTACGTCATGAAATCTACTGTCTGCGAATGACGAGGGCCTACAACAAAAGGGTGCGCAAACGCCCCCTCAAAATTGGAGATTTTGTTTTACGAAAGCTTGAGGCAATCGGTAGGGCGAACGAACAAGGGAAACTGACCCCAAACTGGGAAGGACCCTACCGGATTTTTGAAGAAGTTAGAAACGGCACATACCGCCTGGAAACCCCAGATGGAATGCGGCTACCTCGTACCTGGAATGTAGATAAATTGAAAAAGTACTACTTTTAAGGAATTTGTAATTTTTTGTAAATAGTATTGAAATGTGAAAGCATATAATTTCCATTCATATAATTGTATTAGCACCTGTCTAGTGCAAAAACACAGACGGAAGAACGCTTATTAAAAACCAATGCTCCAAAAAGAGCAGTCATCCGGCGACACCCATCCGGGGGAAATCGTTGAAGAGAACAGCTCCCTTCCGGGTGGTACATTGTTCTAGCGATCAAATGACTCAAACGACATTTTCGTCAAAGAAACTCGCAGCCGTTTGAAATGATCCTTTGCAACTAGAATTCATCCGGCAAGGACTCAAAAGTAGTCCATCTGGCAAAGTGAAAATCCTAGTGGGTTAAGGCAACCGGGTTTTATCTAAAAACCACCCAATGAAACGGCTGCCTGTTTACCGTTGGAGTAAACAGTTGGCCATTTTAGGGGCATTTTATTATACCAGCCGGAGTAAGGGTAGATCAACCATTAATCACCCATCCGGCTGCCAATGAAACGACTACCTGTTTACCGTTGGTGTAAACAGTTGGCCGTTTCAGGGGCATTTTATTGTACCAGCCGGAGTAAGGGTAGATCAACCATTAATCACCCATCCGGCTACCAATGAAACGGCTGCTTGTTTACCGTTGGAGTAAACAGTTAGTCAGGGGCATATCATGGTATCATCGCTTCATCTGGCGAAAAATGAACGGCTGCCTATTTACCGTTGGAATAAATAAACAACCATTCTATTTTGGAAGAATATTAACCGGATGAGTAGTAGAAACTTGTAATACCTGTAGAAATTGCATAAATAAAAATGCAAGTAATAGAGAGAATATAAAAATAGCAAAACCTACTGCGTCGGCCAGTAGATTAGAAATTTTTTCAAATGTTAACCGGACCCTTTTCCGGGAAAAGTACATTGATACACACGGCACGCAGGCCGGTAAAAGAAGTTATATATAAAAAAAAGAAGATTCATTGTTGTTCCTGTTGCTGCTGTTGCTCCTGCTGCTGCTCCTGCACCTGCTCCTGAGCCGGCTCTTGAGTCTGCGCCTGCTTCTCATCCTCTTCCTGCCCTTCTTTGACCAAACCGGCCCACTCCTCGAAGGAAGCAGGCGGGTCCAGTCCAAGGACCTTGGCATCATATACCTCTGAGGCATACTTATACCTAAGGTCGAAGAACTCGTAGTCATAGTCCGGGTGTATGAGCCCCCAGGCGAGCTTCATGCGCTCCTCATTGTTGGTCTCATTCTCAGCAATCAGGCAGCGTTGTTCTTTTTGAAGCTCTTCTTTATGAGCCGCCTGACTAGAAGCTAGTTCATTTTTGAGTCGGTTGTTGGCAGCGCGAAGGTCGGCGTTTTCCTTGTCAGCTCCTTCTAAACCCTTGAGATCGGCTTGGAGATTTTTGACCTTTAGATCTAGCCCATCCGCCCTCGCCTTTTCCGCCTCAGTAGCCTTAATAGTTTGCTTCAGCAATTCCTCCTGTTCCAACTCTCGCCGTTTAGTTTCCATGTCATATCTAATGGCATTGTATTGGGAAACATCAATGAGCTCAGATGCCCGTCTCTGGGCATCCCTTACCTCCTTTTTCTTCTTGCGCAAGGGGACTTGAAGCTCGTCAACTCTCAGCATCACCTGTGATATCAGCCGGCACAACCTCTTTCTCAGTCCGGGTTAGGGTCCGGATCATCCTCTTGGCGTACTGTTGATAGTTTGGCCGGCTGGAGGTAGCATCTGCAATGAGAGATTTATCTGTCAGGTGTTGGGCATACGCCGCGCCAATATTCTGACGGCTGCCAGAAGAATCTTCGGATTGGCAAGCTTGGGTCTTTACTCGCATAGGCCCAAGCAGCCAGGGGGAATCAAAGGAAAAAGTCATACCTTTGTCGGACTGTGGGGTAGTATCACCCCCAGCCGCGTTTGAGCCAGTACCCGTTTGAGTCTGGCCAGCCGGAGTCACCGGCTCCTTTATACCCTCATCCACCACTTCAATGGTGGGAACAATTCCACTAAGGCTCTTGCCTGCAGTGGTGGGCCTGCCTCCGGCAGGCGGTTTTGGAATAGACTTAGCCGGCGAAGGAACCGACATCTTTAATATCTTTGCAGCAGGCAGAGGAACGTCCCCCGCCGGTCTCTTGACTATCTTAGACAAGGAGCGAGGAACTTTGTTCCCGGCCTGCAAATATACAAAACCAACCGGTTAATGTCAACATAGCATACAGGTGCTACAACCGGTGAAGTAGATGAAATAAATGTTACCCCGCCGTCTTTAGCTGCCAGCTGCGACTTTTTCTTCTCAATTTTCTTCTTTCGAAGCAGAGCGGCTGAGAAAGCCGGTGTCTTTTCTTTTGGTATCTTCTCCATTGCAACTTCTGCAAAAACAAAAGAAGAATGGTTAATATGCAGTATAAAGCACCAATATCAGGCGGCAAAGGCCGGTGAATAATAAAAACCTACTCTTAGGAAACATGGTGCTAAGGTTGCAGGCAGAGAGAAACGCCTCATCCTTGAACCAGTCCGGGTGGGGCACCCAGAACTGAGGAACTATTATCTCGCTCCCATCATCCAGGCGGAGGGTTGTCTTTTTGAAGAGACCCTTCTCCATGATTTGGTCCCATGCCTCGCTTGGCACTCTAGGCAGAGCACACTTCCTACCAAGCAAAGCTGGGTATTTATTGTATCTACGCAGCCGGCGATTAAGTTGAGGAGATGGTGAAGAGACGACATAAAATTTGTTCTTCCAGCTACTCCATTTGGACGGTTTGTCTAACGTCATCATATATTCCGGGTGCGTGGTTAGAGTATACCATGCGTTCCACCCACCCGACGCCCTGCTGAGATAATGCATGTGTGCAAAGGCTTCCCAGCTTGGTTTGACCTCCTGCATCTCGCAGGCGGCAATGTATCCAAGGATGTTGACCCATGAGTTGGGGGTCAACTGCCATACACCCAAGTCATACCCCCTTAGTATGGCTTTAATGCAGTAGTGAAGGGGGAAACGGAGGCCGGCTGTGAACGCCGCCTCATAGCAGCCGAAGTAGTTGTTGGCATTGTCCACGTCGTCGGTCTAAACGACGCTTGCCTCTACAGGTGGGACAACCACTTCCCAGTCCTCCCCTACCGGCTTCTTCTCCAAGAAAGCACGTAGTGTTGCATTTAGAGTAACCACATCCCTGGCGGACATGGTCATGTCGGTAGGGTCGCCTGCAGCCGGCCACTTATAGGATTCCTCATCAATAGGGGCAGTCGTTCCAGGAGACTCCTCATTAGAGCCGGATCCCTCGTCATCTGATCCTTCGCCGGATTCTTCGGCATTAGAACCAGAACTACCCAATATGCTATCACTCGGTGTGCTAGGTTCACCCGGGGAGTCCGGGCCATTCTGTCCTGCACATGAACAAAAACGGTCGGATTCGAAGTAGGTGAAGGTTGTCCCAAGCACCCCCAGACGGTAGTCTCAGTCCTAGACTCAGCTGTCCCTGGTGACCGGCTAACCACTGTCGTAGGATGTGCCGTGTTTATATTGGTGGAGTTCATGTCCTAACTCTATATGCATAGCAGGAAAATAAAGGGAAAAGAATTACTAAGGATACAGACGGTACCTTAGAATTTGAAGCTTGGTATGTGGAAATGGGCTTGAAGTCACCTCAGACGGAGAACTCCATGAATGTGTTTAAAGCTGAAAAGACAAAATCACAAGTTAGCCGGTTATTCATAAGCTCAGTCAAAGACACCACAGACGGCATTTACCGCCTGTGGTTGTTTAGAACTAGCTAGATAATTGTAAAGTTCACTCAACGATACTCCAGACGGTATTCAGTGAGCTGGGTCAGAAGTATCCCTGACGGTGTAAGACCGGATGTGGGTTTTTTTTGACACATTTGTAAAGACTAGCTAGATAATTGTAAAGCTATCTATAATACCCTAGGCGGTATTCAGTGAGCTAGGTCAGAAGTACCCCAGACGGTATAAGACCGGATGGGGGGTTATGACTTGCATTTTTGTAAACTTAGATAAAATGTAAAGTTCAATGAATAATACCCTAGACGGTATTCAATGAGCTAGGATAGAAGTACTCCCAAACGGTAAAAATATGGATGGGGGGGTGGGGTGTGATAAATCATTGGTAAAAATAGTAAGAAGAATTGTAAGGCTCACTCCACGATACCCCAGACGGTATCAAGGAAGTTGGGTCAGAGGTACCCCTTCCGGTAAAATACCAGATGTAGGTGCTGCAAGCAACATTAAAAGTCAACCATACCCCAAACGGAAAAATACCGGATGAGGGTATAGTAAGGCCTATTTCAAAAAGGCATGTTCAAACAAAACCCAGACGGTGAGTCACCGGATGGGGGTGCATTGAACGCATCTTAAATTTGAAGAGGTCATGAAAAGACAAGGATGATGACCCAACCGACTTTAAAACCGGTTGGGATTTTTGAAATCATTTCTTGACAAAACAAATACCCAGGCGGTGTAATACCGGATGGGGGTGCTATGAAAGTCTTGTTATTTGAAAGAAAAAGAAAGGGTATTGACTTGGAAATTGGTCAAGGACCCCCCAGGCGGCTTATCACCCGGATGGGGAAAAACATTCAAAGTCCACAATAACAGAAGTTTAAAGTAAGAAGAAAGGGTCAGCCGGTACCTTGCTGAATTGAGGAAAGTACACTCAACCGGAAGCCGGATGTTTAAGTGTCAGAAAGCCGGATGCACGAAAATCTTGAAAGTAGCAGCTGGTAATAGAGCTCTCATAATTTTTTTTGAAAAATATGTAAAGTATGAAGGAGAGAGAGAGAGAGTCTCTCATTTATAGAATAGGAGCAGAAGGCGAAACGATGCCTTCTGCCCTAAAAACTTAAAATTTGAAAAAAGGAGGGAAGAAGACGAACCGTCTCCTCCCATGCGTCTGACACTTGTCACAGGTGACACGTGGACATGCCACGTCACACCTATGAGGGGCAGATGTTTAGGGTAAAAATACCCCTAAGACACGTGGCCCTATAAAGGCTTGCCACGTGCAAAGTTTGCAACGGTCAGCAAAGGTCCACTCCCCTTGCGACACGTGTCATTGTACGTTAAATTGAGGTACAACTCTCCCCTACTATAAATAGTAAGGGCAGACCTCATTTATGGGGATCGAATCATTTTCCAACCACCAACAAAACACAAATCCCTTTGCAAACGCTCTCAAATCGAGAAGCATTTATTGTCTTATTTCCTCATTAAGAAAGATACTAACTTGATCTTCGGAGGCGGAACACCCCAGCCCCAGCCGGAGTTTTCCGTTACTTGTGCAGGTACAGGTAAAGGAAGGAGCATACTAGGAAATTTTAACTCTCTTGTAGGACACATAAAAAACCCCCAAACACCATTCCTTTCAATCTCCCACTTGTCCTTCCGGACAAGTGTGCATACAGTGTATATCCCATTTCCTATGTCTCCTAATGTTTCTTCGTGAACTATAAGGTAAGATTCATTGTCATCCTTATTACGTTCAGAAGTGTTTCTCGATCTCCGAGTTTGACTTTCAATAAGTAGATGATTTCTAAAATCCATCTGAGCACGGCCATGCATTTTCACAGTCTCGCTCTTTGAGCGGACTTGTAAACAACAAAACATTTTCCCTATTGTTAATAGGGGGACAATCCCAGTCTTGTATTGTAATTTCATCTTACTAAGAGGACTTAGTCTTCCGAGTGTTCCCGTTATGATCCCCAGTTACGGCAGACGTTAGGAAACATCAAAGAGTCTAGTACTCAAACAAGAAAACTTCACAATACTCATGGTCGGAGGAAATAGGGTCCGATAGTCATAATGAGAAATGTACTCATGATAATTTTAAAATTTCTTAAAGTACTCTCATAGGTCTTATCCAGTACAGTTCCAAACTGTACCTGTGCAAATGATTTATGACTGTCACATCCTGGCAGCATAAGAAACGGTGCTGTAAATCATACTACACACTAATCTATGGCGGTCATCAATCGTCCATATGTTAGATGACCTCGATTAGGGACAATTTTCGATTTAAACATTCAATGTTCACTTAACAGGTGTTTCTTTATCCAAGGCATGGTCTTGATACCCTGTTTTGAATATTTCCGTAAATCGAATGGACTCATTATTTAATTCTAAACCATAATTAAATAGTAATGGAGTAAATGATAATTTTGCACAAAAATTACTTACTCCATAAATGATTGGTTTCAATACAGTGTTTTACATTAAAACTACCAGTTTAATTAAAACACATGTACATGGAATTTCAAAGCCAGTCTCCAACATGCTTGATTCCCATCGCCTCAATGTGGTTGTTGTGTTTCACCTGAGGCAGCGGTTTAGTCAAGGGATCGACCACATTATCATTTGTGCCAATCTTTCAAATTCTCATTTCACCTTCGGATTTTCATTCCCTAATCATGTGAAATCGCCTTTGCACGCGTTTGACCTTCTGGTGTTCTCTGGGCTCCCTGGCCTGAGCGATAGCTCCATTGTTATACCAATAGAGG